AATGAATGTCAAATTTCAATTCAGCGACCCAAAATATCCCTTGATACTGAAATTGATGAAAATCCAAATAAATTTTAAAAATTATGTCCGCCATTTTGAATTTTTAAAAATGAAAGTCAAGTTCGAATTCAGGGAGCCCAAAAACCCTTGTACACCAAATGTGAGTTAAATTTAAAAAATCGTTTTTTTCATGAATTTTACTTGTTTTTAAATTGTTATATTACTTAATAGTACATTTCGTAACAAGTGTGAACTGATGGCGTTTTTGAAACGAGCGCAATGTTTCCCAGGTAGAAAAATTTAATGGAAGCCTAGATATATGCTAGCGCCACCACTGGAATTTGTATGGCAGTTTATCTCGCCGACGTCTTCTAGCGCCTTGCATGGCGCGAGCACTTTCTGCTAGAATGCAACATAACCACAAATATCGCTATTGCATAAGGTATCAACGGTGTTTGTTTTTTTGTTAAGGAAATTTTAAAAAATATTTTAAGTAATTAATCTAACAATTTATCACCAAGAATAACAATAAATACTTTTGATGAATTAAACATATTAATTTCTCTAAATTCAAATTAGAAAACATAACCTCGAACGTCTGGATTTATGTTTTCTTTATTTTTAATTGACCTGTCAGAACAGTTTTATTGGTTTTAAATAAGAACATAACTTTTGCAATTAAATTATAAGTGATTTTTTAATAATAATTTAAACTTTTGGAGATAATTTTCATAAACTAATATGTATATATAATTCCACAAGGTTAAGAAGTGTGATTACATTTATTAAAACGAAAAGTGTAATTAATTCTTTAAATATGTATAATTTCCATTGTAAACAGATAATTAGTAAATATTTTTTATATATACTTTTATTTAAAGTCATCAAATGAAATGACATATAAGAATAATTGTTTAATTCGCGAAATAAATTTTTGGCAGGTGAGGTTATGTACATTCTGTTATGTTCGCATTCTAGCACTGCGAGCAGAATGCGAGGAAGGTGCTAGAGCACAAAAGTGTTTCAAATGCTGTCAGCGCCACTACAGCGCAATGGCGTGCGAGAGTGGCACCTTACTAGCGCCACCAAATTTTTCTACTAGGGTTTTGAAACGAGTTGTAGGCTAGGCGCCTCGACTACAACTCGTTTCAAAAACTTGCGCGAGATTCAAAAGCAGTTCACGCAAGTTACGAACGATACTTTTTATAATAAAGTCATAAAAAAGGCGTTAAAAACGAGACACCCAGATTTGTCACAAAACTAGTTTACCGATATACATTCAAACGTACTAAAACGTTTTGTCATTGACAATTGAAAGGTAAACAATTCATTTCAGTATTAATGTTGAAAAACCTTTGGTGTGGCCTGCAAGGAGAAGGGTACTTCTCCCGTTCCCAAATAACCATCTCCAAATCATAGGCTCCAAATATTAATTATTCTGACAGTTGATAAAAAAAAGTGAGGCTACTATTCTCGATAAAAACGTCGACTCATGCTGTCCTTCTCACTTGGTTCATCGCAGTCGTTACATTATTTTTCTTTTTCGTACTCTGGGGTAGTCTTATTTGCACTCCGTACGAATAAGAGCTCTTAGGCTGCGGTTACACCTCTGCAGGCTGCCTGCCTGCGCAGGCAGGAGCAACGAGAGTAAGGGAGAAGTTTGAAATCACTGACTCTCTTACTCTTGTACGTTACCATGACAACCTGCAGGCAGGCAGGCTGCCTGCAGAGGTGTAACCGCAACCTAATGACGCTCTGTTCAAGAAAAGGCAGTTTTCTACTTATCTCCGGAGTACCAAAAAACGCCGTTTTTATGACTGAGTTATAAAAAAAAAAAAAAAAAAAAAATGGAATACATGGCTACTTGACCTTCGGGGACTAAAAGGCCAATAACCAAAACCAAACCAAACCAAACGATATAAAAGAATTTATTTTATAATTTACATAAGAAATTGTATTTATTTTGCGGTAACGACCCAACGTTGAGTCGTTAACAGGCAACGGGTTAAGTTTGTAAACACATGGAGAAAAATGAGTTTGCTATTATATGGATAGCTAATTTTTAGCTATTACAGACAATAATTAGCTGTTTTAGCAAAAAAAAGTTAGCTATTTTAGCTAATTATTAGCTGCATTAGCTAACAATAATTGCTATCCATATAATAGCAATTAAGGTTAGCTAAGGTAGCTAAAAATTAGCTGAAATAGCTAACTATTTTGCTCCGTGCAGGAAAACTCAGAATTAGTATTATGATTCAGGCAATTTTTTAAAAAAGAAAAATGGAAACATTCTTCAATGAGTAAGAGAAATTAAGAAAAATTTACAAAAATAGACATTTTTGAGGGTTATTTATAAATACAGAAGTAGACTTAAAAAATATATTTTGGTAATTAATAATAATAACGTACGTGTACGCTTGTAATTAGATTTGTAAATGGGTCAGAATTCGTGAAATTTTCACGAAAAATAAAAAGTTTTTTTTTAATCGAAATGTTAAAAAAACATTTCTACTTGGCCCTCAGAATGTGTCCACCAAGAACAGAAAAATCATTTTTTTATAAAAGTTATTGTAAAATGAATTTTTTTTGCAACTTTATAAACAAAATTTTATTTCCCCTACACGGAGAAAAATGGATAGTCAAATTTATTATCTAGATAATCATGGGTGATGATCTTGGATACTCAACTATAGGACAACCATCTACACGGAAAAAATAAGTCGCGGAAATTTTCCTCGACTTTGTTGAAGACTCTCGGATTTAGTGGAAAGTGTTTTAAAAATCATATTCACAGTTTTTGAAGAAATAGACTACATTTGAAGAAACTTTCCGCGACTGTCGAAGAAAATGAAGACTCCACGCGCATGTAACCGATTCCGCCACAGTCGCGGAAAATTACAAACCTGAATTTACTCTACAGCGTTCTAATTTTTAATTGACAGTCGCGGAAATTATTTAGAATTTTTTAATGTATATATTAATATCGACACATTGAATAATAAAAATAATAATAATCTTGACAATCAATTGTCATAAATTGTTAAAAAAAAATGTTAAAAAAACAGTGTTTATTGGTTTTAACGCGCGCAACTTTTGTGCGCACCATTTTCCGCGACTCGTCGACGAAACCTTCTATGAAGTGTTAGAATAATTCCGAGACTGTTTTCCGCTACTAGGTTTCTAGAAAGTCCTCGACTTTTTTTGGAGAATTTCTGCTAAAATCGTAGAACATTTCTAAAAGTCTATAAAAGATTCGTTCATATCCGAGAGTCTTCGATTAGTCGCTGAAAATTTCTGCGACTATTTTTTTCCGTGTAGATATTCAAATTTAGTATCTTGGGATAATCAAACTTACATACTAATTGCCATTATCCAAGATGTTCACATTTGACTATCTTAGATAATAAACGCAAGTTGCTGTGTTTATACCTACATACACATCTAAATTGATCAATAAGAAATATTTAATGATAAAAGTTAATTTTTTTAGAAATTAGTGAACATTTTGCCTAGATAAACAATTTTTTATGGAAAATCTGAAAATTTTAAAGAACAAAATACATTAATTTAACGATACCCTTGAAATGTTTAAAGGTTATGTTGCTAATTGTAAGTTTTATATATTTTTTAACAATATTTTTTAAGCAATATTATATCTGAAATTCAGTATAAAAAAGCTTGACAATATTTAAATTTCGAATAATACGGTGTTCGATGGTCTCTCAAATTTCTCGATAATGTGCGACCAACAGTTATCACCCAACAAATACGGCACTGACCGGTTTAAATGACGTGTAATTGGTAAACATTCACTTTCTAACAAATTTTTCTCTGTTCACAGGCACTTTTTACAAAATATGACAACGTACATTTGCCACAAATGTTTTTAATTGTCTGAATTGAAAAGATTTTGTCAATCCATGTAGAAACGCGGTTGCAGGATTGGATATTGGAATTACCATAGCAATGTAATGCGAATCATTTTGACAGCTGAGACTTTACGCTCCCTGCATGCTTCTGCCCTCTACTGTCAAAATGGCTGCAACATACGTCTTGCCGCCTGTCATTACATTCCTTTTGTATTTCCAATCCTGTAACCGCGTTTCTGCATGGATTAACAAAATCTTTTGAATTCAGACAATTAAAAACATTTGTGACAAATGTACGTTGTCAAATTCTGTAAAAAGTGCCTGTGAACAGAGAAAAATTTGTTAGAAAATGAATGTTTACCAATTTCACGTCATTTGAAACAGGCAGTGCCGTTTTTCTTGCGCGTGATCGGTAATCAAACTTCTGCGCAAGCGCTCGGCAAGTTGACTATCCAGGATAATAAATTTGATTATCTAGATATACTAAACGGGAATATATAATATTTCAGGAAGATAATATTTCTGACTATACAGATAATAAATTTGATTATATATTTTCTAACTATCTACTTTTAACTATCCATTTTTCTCCGTGTAAATGAATGAACCCATTAAAATGAAATAAGCTGGGGATAAAATATACTTTTATTTGGAATTAGAAAATTTTTAAAAAGTTTATTTTTTAATAATCATTTAATAAATTGTTTATAAACAATTAATTTTTTTAATGTTCTGCGCCTTTTAAAAAAATCAATTGTTTATAAACAATTTATTGAATAATTATTAAAAAATAAACTTTTTAAAAGTTTTCTAATTCTAAACGAAAGTATATGCATTTTATGCTTTTTGTATTCTCGCTTAGTTCATTCATTTAAGAGAAATAAAATTTTGTTCAAAATGTTTCAAAATAATTCATTTAGCAATAACTTTTACAAAAAAATTTTTTTTTCTTTGGTAGACTTATTCCTAAGGCCAAATAGAAATGTTTTTTTCGTGAAAATTTTACGAATTCTGACCCAAATCCTTATTAAAATTTACTTTCGCGCATTATTTTTGCTACTTAATATTATGTTTTCAGTTTTTAAATCATTATTGCAATTATTATACAAAACAAAACACTTTTTTGTTTAGGAGTCGAACCTGTAGATAGCAGTTTAAGAAGTGGATGAAAAATTTTCACGCATGCAGTAAGTTCTACTATTTAAATTATTATTATTCATTTATTTGTTTTACGGACAAGATCAATAGAAAGAGGTTGTGGTAGTTTTTTATCCTACCATACACGCTTTATATTATTGTACTTGACTATAATTATATAGGGGTAAACGGATTGATTGTCAGATAAAAGGTCTTGTATTATAAATATTCAGTTGTAAGGCTTAAATTATAATTATTAAGAAATAAAATCAATTGCAAAAGAATATGAATAACTTCTCAAATTCGAAATATGATTAAAATAAAAAATGGTAGAAAATGTCGCGACCAGCAAGAAAAAATAGTCATTGCCTGACAAAGCGTAGCTCGTTACCCCATTGCTCCCCCGTGGTTCTGATTAAAAAAGAATGGGAAGAATCAGGTCTGCATTGATTATCGTAAACTTTTAATATCACTCAAGACGTAAATCATTCCTTATTAAGAAATAATTTTATCAGCTATGGAAATGAAAAGTTTAAATCTACTTGACTCTCCTGCGCATACGTTTCAACCAAAAAAAAATTGTTTCCATTTTTTTAAACATTTTAAAAGTAATATTTATTGCTAAATAAATAATATACAGTGTTCTAAATGATTTAATAACATTCGTTTGTCCCTAAGAAACAATTTGCAACTTGATAGATTATACTTAATGTTAATTAAAACAAAAGTTATTAACAAAAATGATTGGACGAATGTATTCTGCTTCGTACGCAGGAGGGTTAAGACATGTTGCTTTTTAGATACACAACACATAGCCATCTAAGTTTCTTTTTTAACTGAAAAGTAAACTTAAAATCGAAAACTACACAATTTTTTTTCTTTGGATTGTAAATAGCATTTTTTGGCTATTTAAAAGTGAAAATTAAACAAATTTTTCTTCTTTATTTGTAATAAAAAGTTTCTAATAAAAAACTGACATTTCTCGGATTTCCAGACAAAATTTTCACTTTTTCCCTGAAAAGCAGGGAAGCATTCTGATTCATTCTAAAAAATGATTAGATAGTCAAAAAAATGTTCTATTACATTTATTTACGAATTTCCTTAATTGTAAAATTATTCAACAACACGAATAACTTCATTTTTAAATAAATATTTAATTATTATTATTTTTCTATAGGAATTATGATTTTCAAAAATTCCAAATTCAATAACTGCTAAAAATATTATTGTAAAACATGAAGAAATGGATCACTCCGATCACTCCAATTTTTATATAAAATTCTTCTTTAAATCTATTATTTTTTATAATTTTTGAAAAAGTTTTTCTTGAACACTTAAGCTTTTTGAAAAAAATTAGTTGTATAGAATTTTTGATTAAAAGTATAAAAAATTCAGATTTTCAAAGATTTTAATTTTAAACCTTTACAAAATACACAATTATTTCTAAAAATTGCAATTATTAGTAAATTCTCCAAAATTCAATTATTACCTAAAACTTTAACTGAACTATAATTTTTAAAATTAATTTTTTAGAAAATTTTACGAGCATTCAATTATTAACGTAAAGAAATTAATAATTTATTGAATAATTGAATTTTTTTCAAAATTGAATTCTCATAAAGAATTTTTCCAATAAAATTTCTAAGAATATTTACATTTTTCGAGGAATTCGATTAAAATTGTATTAAAAATAATTGAAATTCTGCAATGAGTTTTATTATTTATCAAAATAATTAAATTATTGCGAAAAATTTTATAAAAAAGTTTCAAAAATTGATTTTTTTCGAAAAAAATTATGCAAATTCTGTTTTTAATAATTGAATTCCTGTGAAATTTTCATTACTTTAGAAAATAATTGAATATTCATGTAGAATTCTGTCATAATTGTTTTTAAGAAATTAAATGCTTTTGGGAAATTTTATTAAAATAATTGATATACAAATTATTGAATTAAGAATAATTTTTGAAAATAATTGAAATTTTGCATTGAATTTCATTAAAATTTTTGATAATTCAATTTTATTACTTTTAAAAATAATTGAATTCTTGTGATCAATATTGTTATGTTTATATGAAAATAACTGACTTCCTCCGAATGATTTTATTATTTATGAAAATAATTAAATCCCTGAAAAGAATTTTAAAATTTATGAAAATAATTGAATTACTGCGAAGAATTTAATGCCAAATTTTAAAACATTTGATTTTTTTGAAAAAATTTATGAAAATTCTAGTTTAAATAATTGAATTCCTGTGAAATTTCTATGTTTTTGAAAAATAATTGAATGTTTGTGTAGAATTTTTTCAAAATTTTTGTTTAATAATTAAATTCTTTTACAAAAATTCAATTAAAACAGTAGAATATTAAAAATCATTGAATTAAGAAATTTTTTTGAAAATAATTGAAATTTTGCATTGAATTTTATTAAAATTTTTTAAAATAATTGAATTTCATTAATTTTGAAAATAATTGAATTCTTGTGATAAATATCGTAATTTATGAAACCGTGAAAAATATTATAAGCCATCTTGGTTATGTCAAAATGTTTTTAAATTCGAATTTCGTTGTTATTAAATTCTTTTTTTTTAAATTTAACAGTGACAAATCGTTTTGTTAGGTGCTTAAAATATTAAATTCATTTTTGTCTCCATTTTTTTACAATAAATATAATCGATTTATCAACTTTTGAAAACTTGCTCCTCAATTATAGACAATCATTCTGCCTATATGTACATTATTTTATCAAAGCACTCGTTGATTTTTATTATAAATAACTGTACTTTATTAAACAATCTTGTTTTTGATAGAAATAAGATCGCTTTATTACGAAAAAGATATAATAAAATGGTATGTTAAACGAATTTTTCTTTAAAAAAAGGAAGCTCTGCCATATCTGTCTTGTATAGCGCGTTGCAATTTTTTTACCCAACTTTTGTCGATGATATCACATTATATTTAATTTTTTATAGTGCAGAGACAATTTATTTTAATTAAGTGTCTACAACATAATTTATTCGAAACATTGGATAATTATGTATTCAGTTAAATTTTTCAACATTTATTTTTTATGGTAATGTTGACAGGTATTGTAGCAATAGTATTCGTATAGCTTAATAGCTCTAGGGTTTCACCGCCATTTCTAGCGCCTCAATCATCTCGACTTAGAAAATTGGATTGAATACGATGAAAACTTTTTTCTATACATAAATTTAATGAATTTTATGCTTAAGTAATTTATTTTTATAGACTTTCTATGCTAAATAATTGATAGAATCTTATTAAAAATGCCAGAAAACGCAATGCAAAGTATAAAAATTTAATTTCAACAAATTTGCAATGGTAAACGTTTGAACACAATGCCCCACAGCACCGAAACTTTCCTAAAAATTTATTAAATATTTACTTGCAATATTCGTCATATTTAACTGAAAAGTTTACTGAAAATTGTGTAAAGATTTAAATGTCCCGATTAAATAAATGTTTAGCGCCAAGCTTTCCCGACCATTTCCTGAACATAAAATTAAATCTTCGCATAATTATAATTATAATTATGCGAAGATTTTATTGATATGTTCAGGAAAGCTTCGCGCTAAACATTTATCGCTTCCGAACATTTATTTAATCGGGACATTTAAATCTGTACACAACTTTTAATAAACATTGCAATTAAATATTCCGAATATTGCAAGTAAATATTTAATAAATTTTTAGGAAAGTTTCGGTGCTGTGAGGGTGATTAAAATACTTAACAATTTTTATACGACGCCTGTAAAAATTTAATTTTGTTTAATATCATTAGAGTTTTAGAACCAATTGAATTCCTTTTACAACTTAATTATTGACACTTAATTCATTCTAATAAATAGAAATTAAAGCACATTAAAATGATTTCAACTGAATCAAGAATTCATAAATATTTTAATCCAAATAAATGTAGTTTATTTAATTTGCTTTAATTAATCTTTTCTTACCGGGACGTGTGTGAAATTTTAGACTGAAACCTAGCCTAAAAGTTTGAAAGAAGTGACTAACTTAATGTGATAGCTTAATTTTAAAAGGCTATATTATCGGTTTTGATTGACCTCCAGAGAACAGCAAATATGAAACTTGTAGAAAATCCATTTTAAACACACAAAAAGTAATCGCAGCGATTGACAAAAATAAAAATAGTTTTATCAAACACGGTGAATCAGGAAAGACAGAGCATAGAGGTGAATACTGTGACTGTCAAACAGGCGCATGCTCAGTTGGCCTTTACAAGAAACTGTAAAGGTGTATCTACAATAGCTTGAAAACACTTTAGGGTACAGTCACACTTTCTAATGTCTGCATGATGCATGCATGCAGAAACATTTGACCGTTCAAGGCGCTAGCACAGCTCCTACTGCCTGCCTGCCTGCAGGTTGACATGGTAACACATAAGAGTAAGAGAGTAAGAAAATTCAAATTAAATGTTTTTTCTCTCTCACTCTTATGGCGCCTGCTTGCACAGACAGGCAGGCAGTGAGGTGAGAGTGTACCTTAACACCTCATTTTCCGCTTTCGAAAAATCATTTTTCTGGCGGGATATTTAAAATTGATTAAAATTTAAAAATAACGTATTAATACCTAATTATTGCAATAAAAAATCAAAAAAAATTGAACGTTTATTACAAAGAATTAATTGAAAATAAATTTCTTTTAATTTGTGGCATATTTTAATAAAACGAGTCTTCTATCTTGAAAACCGTGCTAGAAAATTATTATTATGGCGGGATGATTTGAATGTCAGTTTGTAATAAATTGTGATTGGTGAAAAATATGACATTTAAATAATCCCGCCATAATAACAATTTTCTATCACGGTTTCCAATCGCTTCCAAGATAGAAAATTCGTTTTCAACTTAAAATGCTTTTTTTCATTTCGATTATAAAAATACTCCTTATTTTTTGTAAAATTTCACTGATTCTGACTCAATAATTTTTTTAGAAAATAATAGTTAAAATAATTTTTTCTATTTTTTAATACAGAAAAATTTAGAATCTAAATATAATATTCCGTGAGGAATA